CGGCTGCCCCCTTTTCCTATCACCTGATCTGGTAAGGACCTCGCGTACACGCGTGCCACGCGCCGAAACGGCATAGAGGCCGTACGCCACGCGCTTGGCCACGCCCTTATATCCGGTGGCCCGTCTCCCGTTTTCCTATTCCTTACACAACGTCTTAATTCTCTATATAGCATTATATATAGCACCTAATTAACGCTTCTTTTTAAGCCCTTAACCTTTTATATATAGCGCTATTATAATATTATATTATATCTACTTTTACTACTATAAACACCTTTACTAACCTAACTATAATACTTCTAAAGCTTATTAGCTTTATAAAGGAATAGTAGGCTGCTATAATAGAAGTCCTGTCCGCCTAGAAATAGGAAATTACTGCTCTATAAAAGGAAGTAGCCGTAATTTAGTCTAAATCTACTTTTACTCTACTACTAGCGCCCGACTAATAATTTACAGGGCCTTTTGTTTATAAATTAAATAATAGCTTAATACCTGCTAATAATATAAACTATATATAAACCCTAACTATTAAAGTTACTTTACTAACTTTAATAGACTTCTTCCTAATAGCCGCCGCCCTGCCGACCCTAAAAACTAAATATCTAATTAACCTTCTAATATTTAAGGGAAGTTAAAAGGAACTCCTAATTTTTATTTAATAACTATAGTATAAACTAGAAGGAAATACTAATTAATACCTAACTAAACGTGCTCGCCTGCTATATACTTACTTTTAATTAGAATTTAACCTGTTAACGCTTATTAACCCCTTAATAGACTAAAATATCTGCACTATTAATTAACTTATCTAATTCCTGCAGGCTATATACGGCAATCCGAACTAGAAACTTATATCCTTAAATTAACTCTATATACTAAAGTAAAAAAGGCGTGCCTTTATATTATACTTTGCTAAATTCTAATAACTTACTGCTAATATAGATCTAAATAAAGCTGGCCTAATAACTTAGCTCTAATACTCCCTCTTTAATAAACTCTACTATATAATAGTTAGCGCTACTACTTTAAATAATCTAAACAACTATACTAACTTAATTGCAAAGTATAATAATAATTTATAATTCCTGCCCGGCTAACTCTTTTAATATTCCCTTCTGTTATAAAAGAACCTAGATGCAATAGAAATTAATATATTTAAATATACTCCAGCCGGCTTAGCCGAATAAGATAAATATTATTAAAAGGGCCTCTACTTTAAATATAGAAAGCATAGCTATATCTCCTGTAATTACTCTATTTTTTTACCTTAAGTCTAATTATCTAGTATAGATAAGCCTTTAAGCTCCTAACCGCGTATATACATATAATTAACTAATTCCACCTAATTCTTATCTGCCTGCTATTCCTCTATATCTACTGCTTTATCCTCTAGCTTTAATTAATCTAGAGGTAGCTGCTTATCCTATATAAAAAAGTTATTAAAAGCCCTATTTTAGGGCTAAGTTGCCCTCTAGAACTATTCTAACCCCGGATTTCTATAAACCTATTTAAAGAACCTAAACCTAACTCCTAGAAATAATAGATTTTTATCTCTATTTCTGTATAATAAGGCCCTACCTGTATAAATACTATAGCTCTAATTAATAGTAGAGCTATAGGTATAGGTTATATTTACAGGAATTTAGCGCGCGCATAGAACTTTTGCCTTAACCTGCTTTCTTATATTTTACGCCTAACTAGATTTAATAGAAAAATACTTAAAAAAAAATAGATTACGCACTCTGCGTAAGTAACCTTCTGCCACCTAAACTATATAGAATAGATCCGTCTCTATATACTAGAACTTAGCAAATATAAGCTGCTACTAAAATAGCCCTAGCTATATAAGCACTATATTAGATTTAACTATAATAACTAATAACTATTGTTTTAATTATCCTAATACCAGGCGCAATACCTACGCAACTTCTAAACCTCTGCAATAAAAACTTATATAAAATAGCTTCCTAAAGCGCCCCTTATTAAGCAGTGCCTAATACCTTTAACCTAATACTTTTACTTGCAGTAATTAAGCCTATCTATATAACACTAATATAATTACTAGCTTTCTAAAATAGTATACTAGATAAATATGCCCGACCCTAAACCTAAGCTAGAAACCAAACCCGAAACTAAATCTAATTCTAAATTTAAACCTAATACCCGGATAGATATCTATATACTAAACGCGGTGTCTATAACCTAATTAGCCTAACAACCTAATTATAAAATCTTTACTATTATAATTGCTAATATTAATAAGGCCTTAGCTCTAAAAACCTAAACTAACCCAGCTATAAAAGTCCTAGCATAATATTACTATTTACTAAAGACCTTTTCCTAATAGAAAGCTAATAAGTTACCTAAATACTAAATATATAATTATAAAATTATGCTTAAAAACGGTAAACTATATAGATTTAGCCTGTTATATAGAATATTATAAAATAAATTAAAGGTGCTAAGGAAGTACCTTAATAATAACCTTGCAAAAGGATTTATCTATACTAGTTTATTACCTATCGCCTCTCCGGTTATTTTTATTAAAAAGCCCGGAGAAGGCCTATAATTCTGTGTTAACTACCGCGCGCTAAATACTATAACTATTAAGAACTAATACCTAATCCCCTTAATTTAGGAGACCCTAGTATAATTAAGTAAGGCGAAATACTATATAAAGCTTAATATTATCTCTGTATTTAATTGCTTATAAATCGCGAAAGAAGATAAATAGCTAACTGCTTTCCGGACGCGATACGGCCTGTTTAAATACCTAGTAATACTATTTAGATTAGCTAATACTTCTAGTATATTCTAATACTATATAAATAACGTGCTCTGCCTATACCTAGATATATTCTATACTATATATATTAATAATATTCTAATATATAGCAAAAACTTTAAAAACTACTAGTATTATATAAAGCTAGTCCTAAAAGTAATAGAAGCCGCCGGCCTATAACTAGATATTAATAAGTGCGAATTCTATTAGGATAAGGTTACCTACCTAGGGTATATAATATTAACCGGCGGAATTAGTATAAACCTAAATAAAATTAAGAATATCTATAACTAGGAAGTCCCCTATAATATTAAGGATATACAAGCCTTTATTAAATTTATAAACTTCTACTAACAATTTATTAATAATTTCTCTAGCCTGGCCGCTCCCCTAATTATACTTATAAAGAAGGATGTTCTGTTCCGGTTTAATAAGTCCTGCCGTGCAGTATTTAAACAACTTAAGACAGCGTTTACCACCGCCCTAATCCTCTATTATTTTAACCCTAAACTGCCGATTATTATTAAGGCTAATTTATCCGACTATATAAATACTAGAGTGCTCTTGCAAATAGATAAATAAGGAATACTCCGACCTATAGCCTACTTCTTAAAATAATTAAGTTCTGCCGAATATAACTATAAAATCTATAATAAGAAACTCCTAGTAATTATCTAATACTTTAAATAGTGGCGGCCTAAACTAAAAGGTATAGTATTTCTAATTTAGGTTCTTAGTAACTATAAAAACCTATAGTACTTTATAACTATAAAGCAGTTAAGCTACTAATAGGCTTATTAGTCCGAATACCTGTCCTAATTTAACTTTTTAATTACCTACTAACCTAGTAAGTATAGTAAGAAGCCTAATACCTTAACGCGTTATACGTAAAATACGCCTATATAAAAAGAAGCTTAAGCAGCCCGAAATTAGATACTGCTCTATTCTAACCTGTTTATATAGTTAAATCTAACAGAAACTAACTAAATAATTTAGGAAATTATTAAGAATAAATACCTAAATAATAAGTTTATTTAGGAAGTTCTAGAAATATTATGCTCCGGAGTACACTGCTCTAAAAAGATTACCCTAAGCAAATATAAAGAGCGAAATAGTAAGCTCTACTTCTACAACTAAATAGTAATTCCTAATAATAATAAACTAAAGATTAAACTGCTTTATTATATATATAATTCCCCTATTAGCAGCTACCCTAAATATAGAAAAACTTTAGAAATCCTCTAAAAAAAATACTACTAGCTGTATATATTTAAAATAATCCGCCGATTTATAGTATACTATTACACCTGTTACTATATAAAGGCTTTAAGAGAAAAGTATAATAGCTTTCTAAAACTTCTGCCTGTCCTGCAGTATTACTGGCGAGATATTTCTATTAACTTTATTATTAAACTACCTAAATCCAAAGGCTGCACTAATATTATAGTTATAGTAGACCGCCTAAGCAAGTACTAATATATAATTCCCTGTAGAATAATTACAGCTAAGGCTACAGCCGACCTATTCTACCGATATATTTAGGTATATTATAGATTGCCTAATATATGCGTATCTAATTAAGGATTATAGTTTATTTCCGTATTTTAGGATAAACTCTATAAGCAACTATATATTAAAGCCTAATTATTATTAGCCTTCTACCCGGAAACTAATAGCTAAATAGAGAAGGCTAATTTAATACTAGAATAAGTCCTCCGCGCCTATATAAACTATAAGCAAAATAACTAGGTTACCTAGCTACCATCCGCTTAGTTTAAGGTAAATAATATCTAATCTAAATTAATAACAGTAACACTGTTTATTGCTATCTTAGGATAACACCTAAGAATAGGCTTTAAACCGCTATTAGGAACTCCGCGCCCTGCCTATTAAGCACTGCAAGCACTTAAAGCTAATTAGATAGTTAATAAAATATTAGATATTAAGCAGTTTATCCGCAAAGAGATAACTTAGGCCTAAGCAATATAAGAAGAATACGCTAACTAAAAATATATAGGCGCACCAGCCTATAAAGTAGGTAATAAAGTCTAGTTAAATATACGGAATATCTATATAAATTAACCCGCTAAGAAGCTTAATTAGAAGAACCTAGGGAAGTTCCTAATTATACAGATTATTTCTCTATACGCCTATTAACTAGGCCTACCTAAATTTATAAAGATATATCCTATCTTCTATATTTTATTACTCTGTCCTGCCGCTCTATAAGCTAACTACCTGCCTGGCTAGGAGTTGCCCCTACCTAAACCTATTTAAGTTAAAGAAGAGACTAAATAGTATATTAACTGTATTAAAGGCATGCGCCTAAACCGGCGCTAAAAGCAATATAAGTACTTAGTCCGATGGACTGGATACAACAACCTGTCCTGGCAACCCGTTGACAACCTAAAGAACACTACTACTGCGGCTGATTATTATTACTGCTACCCCGAAGCTTACGATCCTGCGTCCGATAAGCCCCGTCCTACTGGACCCTGAAACCTTAATTAAGATTTAATTTACAGCCCTACTCCCGATAAATAGCTGTATATATTACGAACAGCGCCTTCTACTCGCCAAGAGACTTAGGTTTAGGAGGGGGGTACTGTCACAGTATTAACCGCGACACCCTACCTACCGAAATTCTGCCGCAGATTGCTACAACTCCAGCAATCTGCACCGGCCTACTACTGTTAGCCGGCCTCCTGCCCTGCCTACCCTGCTCTGCTCCCGTCTCGCTTCCGCTTCCTATCCTGTCCCGCTCCAGCCACCTACCGGCTGCCCCCTTTTCCTATCACCTAATCTAGTAAGGACCTCGCGTACACGCGTGCCACGCGCCGAAACGGCATAGAGGCCGTACGCCACGCGCTCGGCCACGCCCTTATATCCGGTGGCCCGTCTCCCGTCTTCCTGTTCCTTACACAACGTCTTGATTCTCCACGTAGCATTGTATATAGCACCTAATCAACGCTCCTCTTTAAGCCCTCGACCTCTCGCGTGTAGCGCTATCGTGACAAGTATTATATAGCTGCAATATTTTAATATATATATAAAGGACCGCACTATAGGCGTATATTACTTACTTATTTTAAATAGTTATAAAAGCTATAACTTACTTAAATTTAAAAAGCTTTATAAGAAGAATAATATTATTACGCTATATATACCGCCGCACGCCTTATATCTATTGCAGCCGCTTAATATAGGCTGTTTTACGCTGTTAAAAAAAGCGTATAGTTGCTAAATTAAGGATCTAGCGTATAACTATATTAACTATATTATAAAGCTTAAGTTCCTACTAGCTTTTAAAGCAGTATTTAATAACTTATTTATAAAAAGTAATATTTACGCAAGCTTTTAAAGCGCCGGCCTTATACCGCTTAATCTAGAGGTAGTGCTTTTAAAGCTTAATATTATACTTTATATACTATCGCCTCCTGCTGTAGAGGCTTAATAGGAATTAAAAACACTAAGTAATACTCTTAAGCTAGGCTCTTAGTTAGCTTTAATTTATAATTGCATTTAAATATATTAATATAGCTCTCCTACTGCAATTCTTAAGTTGCTTAATTTGCTTGTTAGAGGCGCTAAGATGCAGATGCATAGGGCTGTGTTATTGCGCGATTAGGTTACAAGCCTTTAAAAGGCGAATAAGGCCGCCATAAAGCGTAGAGAGCGCAAAAGAAAGCGAATTCAGAGGCAAGGAGTCCTAACAAAGGCACAGGGCTCTAATATAATCGCTTAAAAGGAAGCTAATGAATAAATTGAGGGGGAAATGCGTCAAAATAGGAGGCGCCCGGGTGGAAGTGCACGGCAGCAGGCGCGCTGCAGGCGCTGCGGCGAGACAGGACATAACTCTCGTACGTGTCAAAAAGATAAGGAAATTGTTGTAGATTAGACTGCAGGTCGTATTAAGTTAATATCTATTGGCGTTGTGGAGCAATTTGCATTTAATGTTGCGATTTGCTTGTGAGGTGGGCCACTCGCTTGGGTGGGCCGCTCGCTTGTGGAGTACGTTACAAGACTTCGTACACCTAAGCTTAGTGGCTTATATTGACGACGCGGACGGAGGAACTTCGAGATATGAAAAAATGGGGAGATGTAAGAGAGATAGGTGAAATGATTTGCGAGGAGTCGACAGAAGGATTTCTAACATGCGCTCCGTCTTCATTCGTCGATGTATGATGACAGCCGAACGAGCAAAGAGCTGTCTATGCGGAAAAATTCTCTAAGCCTTATGTCTTCGAAGATTTAAAAGAGCATCAACACTCAATCACAAGGAAGCGTTTGATGGATGACAGTCTATGAATATGTCAGGAAGAAGAAGAAAGGAGGCGGGGGTGAAGCGGGGAAGGTGCAGGTCACGTGAGAGCAATTCACGATGACAACACATTTCATTTTAAGACTAGCAACCCTACTGCAAGTGTGGACTACATAAAGAGAATGAAATCGGAGGTAATACTCACCTCCGAATGGTAATTATAGCTGCCCGACTCTGAGTCGAGCATAGATAGCGTTCTTCACTCGCTCGCGAACACCTACGTCGAACTCCCCTTCGGCGGTCCCCCAAACTTGAAGTACCCCTTATTCAGCGTCTGAAAAACACCCATTGGATCATGCCTCTTCGCGATCTTCTCCAATCTCTCATAGTTGTCTTCACCATAACTGCCCAGCACGTCTTGGTAGTCGCTCCCATAATTCATGTCTGCTTCCTGGTCAGCGCTTGCAACTCCTAGATCGTCTTTTCCTTAGGATTGACTTGCAGATATACTCCCGATACATTCCCGTCTCCTTGGCCCTTCCAACTACCTTATCCAAAATCCCCACAATCGACCCAATGACCGCCTCATCGTCCTGCTGCGCCAGCCACATCGGACAGAGCTGCATAATCAGGAACGGGCCATCATCCGCATTTTTGGGCAGAGGCGTCGCATTTCCGCCATTCCGCTGCATCTTCACAAGCGTCTCTTTCGTGATGAACTGCAGAACGAGTGGGTACTCCAACCCTGACACGCTCTCTACGGGCACGACTTCTTCGAGATACGTTTCCGTCATGAACTCGATAAGCTGGACATTGAATTTGAAAGTGTGCATCCAGTAGGACTGCCGCCGACCTTTCGGGTTACTGGCGTTTGTTTCGAGGGTCAGGTCTGCTAGAGTGCGGATCTTAGTCGTATCTGTGAGGCTCGGGATAGCTTTGTAGGCATTGAAGACCGGGGGATTTGGAGCAGGAGTAGCATGCATAAGTAAGATACTCATAACCGTGGCACCCTGGAATTTGACAAAGGAGAGCCAGGTCGCCGCGTGCTCGTCTGGGTTGTTTCCGAAGTCCACGAATGCTTTGATGAGATCGGACCCATACGTCGTGGCGTTGTACACGCGGCTTCCGCCCCAGATGGAACCTTGCGGGAAGGTCTCAAGATCGAAGCGTGTTACGACGCCGACGTTGCTGCCGCCGCCGCGGAGAGCCCAGTAGAGATCCGGGTAGAACTTCTGGTTGACTTGGAGGATGGAGCCGGCGGCGGTGACGAGTTCGTAATTGGCGACGTTGTCGCAGCCCCAGCCGTGGGAGCCGGAGAAGAAAGAAATGCCGCCTTCATCGAAGCTACGATGAGCGAGTTGCAACGGCATTAGAGATGGGAGTAGTCGTACCTCCTAACGTAAACCCACCAACTCCAATATCAGCCACTCGCCCTCCAATTACTGCTAGTTGATCTGCTTCCAGGGAGGTGTAAACACGATACCACGTATTCCCAGCGCCTACCTTCGCGATCTTCTTGTCATCGGTGATCTCAATCGCGTCCAATCGGGCGAGGTCGATAGTGATGCCACCGTCAACGTTCGAAGCGCCTGCGAAGGCCGCATGGCCTCCGCTTTTCACCGCAAACGAGCATCCGAGCTTCCTAGATACGAGCACTACCACGACGACTTCTTTGGCGTTGCGGGGTTGGAAGATGCAGAATGGGGTTACTGAAGCTTGTTGGGCAGCCCAGAAGTTGGAAGCCCATGCGGGGATTTCTGGTGAGCTATGGGGGATAGTTTCAGCCTTGAAGACGGATGCGAGAAATGTGCACTATGACGGATAGATATTGGAATTTAGCGGATGGTTTTCAGATTTGGGGGCCGCAAAACGACTGACTGCAGTAGAACATGTGTTGTTTGGCAAGTGAATGTACCCCTCGAGGGAGATCCCTAGGTCTGTGAGAGCATGATCGATTTCGAGACTCTCCGGTTCGGTGTATTCGTATGCGAATGTTCCAATGCAGAGAGTGAGAGGTGCGAGGACCCGGATCAACGAGTTGGACCACATACTGAGAGCTTGAATGGGAGAGTCATAAGTAGAAGATGTGTATGAAAGAACGTCAGAGGTCGCACATATGCGGGGGTACCTGTAGTGTTACCTCACGCACTTTCTCCCCTCGATTTTATTTAATCTATCATGCAGCACGCGGTAGGCAGATCTGCACACCTGCATTGCCTCGAAATGGAGGAGCGCGGAAGCACGATGTTAGCTTCGCAACTGTACACATTCAATATGGTTTCACGGAAGAATAGTAGTGAAAGTCATTTGAAGGTTGCACCATCTCAATGAATTTTTTCAATAATGGTAAATCTTGAGCACGACGACAAGACAATTGTCGTTTTGAATGTAAAGCCGAAGAGAGTAAGAGACACGATGAGTGATACATCCTTATCTAGGTCACAAAATATTCTAACTTTGACGGTGGCCTAAGAAGTGAGAGTGAATCTCCAAAGGAATACCTGACCCCTGGCTACTTCGGAATTGCAAGCATAACGCATGTAAGCTACCCGAATGCCCTTTAAACACCAGCAATACCAAATGTGATCCGTAAGTCTTGCTAGCGGACTGCACCGAGGGTGTGGGCAACATTTCGTTTAGTTTGTTCCAGTGCTAGAGTTTCCGGTCGTAGGTGCGGCTGGCTGATTGATGGGGTCTCAGTGGCTTGTGGATCGTTCGGTCGATGTCTCTACCACAGGTGTAGGCTCGCGATTACCTGGAGTGATGAGCACAATGTTATTCTTCAGGGGTTCCCTTAAGCGTACCATTGATGCCCGATGACACTTCTTTAGACGTTTCTTCAGGAGTGGTGGTAGGAGTTTGGCACTTTGTGTCAGCCCACGCGCCGATGTGGGCCAGGATATGCCCTAAACTATCTGCATTTTTGGGATTACTTGAGGAAGTCTGACTAGGCATGGCTGAAGGGTGATTATAATTCTGAATGAGGACGAACGCTTTACTTTTTGTGCGGTTGGATGAGAATGGGAATGAAGAGGTTAGCTATGCTCTCCAGAGCCTGCTTTATAGAAAAAAGGTTTCTAAAATATCGGAAGTGACGCTCCTCCATTTTCTTATTTCCTCTTTGGGTCATTCGACAAAACGTGGCGTTTCTGACGTGGGATATGGCAGCGGATTGGCGGATCGAAAACGAGGTGTTCGCACTGACTTCGAACTGACTTCGAACTGACTTCGAGCAGGAACAGACGTTGCTTAAATGTTATCTGGATTGCATAGAACATTCTGCAGGTACTTCATGATCCTGATAGCTAACTCCGCCCTGTTGAAGTCACTCCATATTTCACGTAACACGTGCTAAGAACTGTCAGAACTCTCTGAAGTGTTTGTGCATAATTGCTTTAGTCTGAACTTACAGTTCGTGCAGAATGAGCATCATGCCGTGTACAATAGCATTCGTGCGTTAAATAACCTCAGCCTCACTCAAAAAAATGGCCGACGCTAACCCGATCTGGTCATTCGACACTGCCCCAGGTGTGCATAGGTCATGGCAGGCAGCCTTAGTGTTCTTACGTTCCGCATTCAGATTGACCTCAACTTTCTCCAACTGTCCAAATTATCGCAAGATTGTAGTTGAGCCGCAACAGCACGATGTCTGCACCACCCAATATCTCCTTCACTGGTGTGCCAGTCCAGCCTCGCTCGTCGAGAATTTCGCCTGCGGTTTGGGACAGCCACAAAGCTGTCATTCTTCAAGAGTTTCACAATAAGGGACTTGCGCATACGAAGAAATGGATGGAAAAAAACCGGAAATTCTACGCTACGTATGTCGTGCTGTGCAAAGCTGTTGATGATTCAAGCTAAGAGGTTTAGAATGAAGCAATACCAATATCAGATATACACGAAGTGGCGACATGCACAGCCAAGCGCCACCGTCGAAGAGAGACCAGCGATCAGCGCTCATCAGATAGTCCCGAGGACTTCTGTGTCCGGGTTGCGGCTTGAACAATCCATGGACCAGGAAAGCAGTATTACCCCGAGCTCAAAAAGCCCGCCTCGCTCTCGAACGGCCGAAAAAATGGATGAGACAAAACGAAGATTGAGCACAGCAAGCACGAGGAGCAACGCATCGCTCAAGAAAGCAAGATTGACTGAAAACTCACCTCTGCGGCCTTTTATCATCGCATCTAGACACGATTCTTCGCAGGATTCTGAAGATCTCGCGGTCCTTTCGTTGTCCTCTGATTTGATGCTCACTCTCGATGATGGCGAAGAGGCGAACTTAGCATTGGTAAGCAACATCTTTCAAGGGATTACTGTATCGTGCTGACCGTAACGCGAGGTTGATTTGGACCACTTGAAAGAAACCGCAGATGTCCTTTTCGGACTCGCGTACAGTGATGAAGCGTACCACTTGTATCTAACTGTGTGGTATGAACTCGGAATCCACGAACCAGAACTTTTAGCGGTAGTACACATCCTGACAGCCTTGGTTTATTCAATGGCGACTAAAGAACAGTACGGATTTGTCGAAGCTATTCTTGAATCAAGATTGGACGGCCTGTCACCCTCGCAGGCTACCGAGCGCTTCCTCTTCGGAAGCCTGTTAGCACAGCTCTACTTGCGCCAATGCCAATCCGGAGCTGATGCCAAAATACGCCTTGCATCCTACGTCCAAAAGATAGTTGACAGCAGAGATCGAATGTTCGACCAAGTACAAGCCGGTGGCGTCGCTCTCAACTTACCCCTGTTGTTTTGGCTTGACAGAAGCTACTGTTACATTCAGACTGGATCTGCTAGGTACACTAAAGTACGCTTCAACAATTCCGACGAGCGTGGCTTTGAGCATACCGTGGAGTTTGAAAAGAGGTGCATGCTACGAAATTGGGCTTCGGGATCCCATTCGCTAGCACCCGGTCTTACGAGCAGAGTATTACTGACTGAGCCGATCACCCACGTCATTTATACTTGCCAAGACCAGGTCATGTCTCTTGAAGAATTGGAACCATTTTTGAAATCAACGGCTTCCGCCGATGGGACTATCTCTTACGACATGGTGGCAACGGGACTCTTCTGTCTGCTTGCTCAACGCAGCCGTCTCAACAGTGCCGAACCATGGTTCGTTGGGACCGCAAGCATCAAGCTGGGCTATGGCTCAAGCCCAATGGAGATATTGAAGGTGGTGTGCATTGCCCTTGTCGACATTGCCAGCGTTAAATGGAGCGATTTATTGGCTGGAGTGCCCGAGAGGAGCGGTAACCTTCTGAACAGGCTTCACGAGGCGACAAACATATTGCTCAAGCAGGGACCCAACGCGCTTAGAGAGACATTCGTGGACATCTATCTCTCCGACAGGATGCGAAATGTGCTCTGGCAACCTAGTTACGATCATATCAAGCCTTTCTTACAAGGCGTGTTAGTTAGGCACACGCTCAAGCTGCCTGCCCTTCATCGAAAGCTGAGCGATGTAATTTCTGCAAATCATCGGCCACGACCTTAGAAAGGAAATGAAGTGAGGCCGACCAGTGGCAACGAGACAGCGACTGAAGTGTGAACTATGGAAAGAGATAACGGAAAGACACCAAGAAATTTGGAATGAGATGGAGGGACCTGCTGACCTTGTACAGCCCTATAACAAATTGAAGGGCTTCAAATTGCATCATTGTAGAGTTCCAGTCAGGGAAAAACGTGTACGCTTTAGCGGAGGACCACTTAGGCATTGAAATATAGAATCTGCTGGTGAAACAGATGCTATAATGTGAGGAGTTGAAGTTAATGAGTTCAAATAAGGCCTGGAGGTTATGCCGTCGGCGCTCCGACCATTTCTTGGCATGACCGAGCATCTCAAAAAACTATAGCTACTGCACCTCCTCTCTGACATTCCCCAAACTACCATCACCCTCCTCCAAACCCCCCACACCGCCACAATGCCTCCCAAAAAGATGACCGCCAACCCCCTCCGCGGCCCCATCTACCGCGCCGGCAAACCCCTCCCAGGCCAATCCGACTCCTCCGACTCCTCCGACGAACCAGAAGAAGAAGAAGAAACACCCGCCCCAAAACCCGCGCCTCCCAAAGCCGCCTCCTTCCGCCCAAAACCCAAGCCCGCGACCCCAGCACCGGCCGCCACCTCACCCCAGGACCTCGCGGAGGGCTTCGAGACAGCGAGCGAAGACGAATCAGGGTCGGACAAAGAGGATGGGAGCGGTTCAGGCAGCGACGACGAATCTTCCAGCGAGGAAGACGAGGAGAGCTCAGAGGAGGAAGTTGCGCCGCGAAAACTAATGCGCCCCGTTTTCGTGAAAAAGAATGCGCGAGTCACCTCCGCCACCCCCGCGAAATCGTACGAGGAGATCGAAGCCGAGGCCGAAGCGCGGCGGAAAGCGACGGCAGATGCGATGCTACAAGAGCAACTCGAGCTCGCGGCTGCGGAGAAGGCGAATAGGAAGAAGCACTGGGACGAGGAGGACAACATCGACGAAGCGGAGTTCGTGGATGATGCTGATGCGGCGACACCGGAGAGCGCGGCAGCGGAGCTGGCGGCGTGGAAGCTGAGGGAGCTGCGGCGTGTGAAGAGGGAGCGGGCGGCGATTGAGGAGGCGGAGGCGGAGCGCGCTGAAGTCGAGCGGCGGCGGAACCTCTCTGCCGCCGAACGGGAGGCGGAAGATCGCGAGTTCCTAAAAAAGCAAGAGGATGAAAAGGGAGAGAGGGGCACGATGTCGTACATGCAGAAGTACTTCCACAAGGGCGCATTTTTCCAGGATGATCTCAAAGCCAACGGGGTCGATCGCCGGGATCTTATGGGCGCGAAGTTTGAGGATGCGACGAATCGCGAGATACTGCCCGAATATATGCAGATGAGGGATATGACGAAGTTGGGGAGGAAGAGTCGGACCAAGTACCGGGACATGAAGAGCGAGGATACGGGACGGTGGGGGGATTTTGAGAAGAGGGGCCCGGGGAAGGATCATGGCGTTGATGAGAGGTTCAGGTCTGATGGGCACGAGGGAAGGGGTCAAGCTGTCACGGGTGCGAATTCGGGGCCGCTGGGGGAGAGGAAGAGGCCGGGGCAGGGAGAAGATAGGGATGGTAAGAGGGCGAGGTTTGATGATCGATGAACATACTTTGGCACCGGCAGGTCAGAGACCGTGGTATCAAACTTTGAGATATGGAGGCCATCTTTTGGATTTAGCATGGCGTTTGACCTTGATGGGAGCATTTCACGGCGTTTTGCGTACTGTTATTTTACAGGGTGTTTAGTCAAGCTCACGAGACTGGGCCAAGTCCAAGGGACTAGGAATCAGACACTGCTCGAGTACGAGCTGTCATCAATAGCTTGTCAGGAGGATACCAAAATCAAGAGAGCTATTTCAAATGTCTAGAATCTGTTTCATAATTTTTATACAGTGTGAACTTGCTGGCTCATCCCAGGCTGCTTCTCCCCAAAAGACATGCACTCATTTAGTGCCTAACAGCCTTTGAGTAGTCCTAAACCGCTGACACTAAAGATCATCCAATCCTTCACTTTCGTCTCAAGGTCCAATAGCCCCATCTCCAGGAGCAGTGCTCCCGCTTGTTCGTTGTCGTCGTTTCTCATCCCTTATTCCCCCGTCAAGCCTTCGCCACCTTTGGATCCGCGCTCTGACGACTCAATAACCACATGAACACCAACTGCACCACATAGCTATACACAAACAAAAACTGCGTCCTCCTGTTCCTTTGACTCCGCGCAACTGTATAGCTTGCCGCGCTCCCCGCACCTCCTCCTTGCGCCGTATCCGGCAGAAGGACGTACCGCAAACTCCGCAGCAAAAAGAACGCATTCGCCAAAAAGACGTACAAGAACACCGTCCACCCGACCCATCCTCCAGTTCCTCCTCCGCCAGTGCCAAACGCGGTGCGGTTGAGGATCTCAGAGAGCAGCAGCGTGACGATGATTCCGACAAATTTATAGCCAGAGTAGGCGACGAGGTCGAGGAGCTGGGACTCGGATGAGATGGAGAGGAGGTAGGTGCCTAATTTTAGACCGAGGATCTCGAAGATGACGACAGCGAAGGCGGTGGTCGCGGTTATGCCGAGGAGTTCGGGATGGAAGGCGCCGCGAACACCGGCGAGGAGAGTTGAGAGAACGATGTAGGTTACGAAGGCCATTACTGTGATTCTGTTAGCACTTGAACCTTCAATGCGCCCATCAACCGTCCACGGAAGTCGTAAAGCTTTGGGAGTAAAATGGAGGGAGAAGTGAGTACGTACTCGGGATATACATATCCGGGGAATTAATATCCTCCCTTGGGGCCAGATAAAACCCATCCTGCCCATTATTCGCCAGTCTCTGCTGCCTGCTCCACGGCCGGTGCCACCACGGGAACAGCACAATGTACAATTTGCTCGCTACGTAGCTGTTGCTAACGTTGAAGTAGTGTTTCAACGCGGACACGTTGACGTAGCGGTTGAAGTTCTGTTCCATATACTCCTGGCCCGCCATGACGGCTGATTTCCCAACCTGGAAGCCCATTTGCGCCGTCGGGTCATTGATGAAGCCCGCACCAAAGTTTTGGTGCATGTAGCCGGGCTGTTGTTGGCCACCGGGCTGCTGCTGGCCTTGTTGGGGGTAGCCATATCCTTGCGACGAGGTCGAGGGCGGCGGTGGTGAGCGGAGTTGGGGGACCGTGGAGACGTGTTGCGGGACAGGGTGGTGTAGTGGGGGTGAGTGCGCAGGTGCGGGGTTGGAGTACGCTGGTCGTTGCATTGTGGGTGTGTTGGAGGTTGACGTTCAATGCAGCCTTGAGTAGTATGGAGAGAGATGCTTCTTAAGGTTTACGTGGTGTTGATTTCGCGCCAAGATATATGTGGCGGCTTGTTCTTCCAGCCCGAACGGAATCTGCCGGTCCCCGCGGACTTCTTTCGACTCGTCTTTTGGATATCTAAGCAACATTCACCTCTTTTCTCGCCTCATGGAGAACCACACTACACGACTTCCTCCGTACCTTAACACCGGCTGAAACAGCTAAAACAAACGCTCACCACAATCGCCATTGTTAAAGCCCATCTTTCCGCCCCGCCTCCCACCCCACCATGGCGCCCTCCCTCGAACCCCTTCCCGAGCCCATAGACTTCACTGCCCCTCTCAAACAAGCCCCAAAGCTCGTCGCGCCAGAGCCAGAACACTGTCCCGGCCCCGAATCCAACCTCGCCGGCACCGCCGACTCCTGCGCTGGCTGCCCGAACCAAGCCATCTGCGCCTCCGCGCCCAAAGGCCCCGACCCCGACATCCCCCTCATAACCGCGCGACTCGCCAATGTCAAACACAAGATCCTCGTGCTCTCCGGCAAAGGCGGCGTTGGCAAGTCCACCTTCTCCACCATGCTCGCGCATGGCTTCGCCGGGCTCGACAACCTCGAGAACCCGGTGGGCTTGATGGACACGGATATCTGCGGGCCGTCGATACCCAAGATGATGGGGGTGGAGGATGAGACTATTCATGTCAGCGCCACGGGGTGGAGTCCTATCTGGGCGACCGAAAGTCTGGCCGTTATGAGCGTGCAGTTTATGCTGCCGAACCGGGATGATGCTGTTATTTGGCGGGGCCCGAGGAAGAACGGGCTGATCAAGACGTTTTTGAAAGACGTGGAGTGGGGCGAGTTGGACTACTTGATTGTGGATACGCCACCGGGGACGTCGGACGAGCACCTCAGTGTGAATTCGTATCTGAAGGAGGCTGGGGTCGATGGGGCGGTACTAGTGACGACGCCGCAGGAGGTCAGTCTGTTGGATGTAAGAAGAGAGGTGGATTTTTGCCGGAAGGCGGGGATCAGGATAATTGGGATTGTCGAGAACATGAGCGGGTTTGTGTGCCCGAATAAGAAGTGCGGATACGTGAGCCAGATTTTCCGGGCCAGTACGGGTGGTGCGAAGAAGTTGGCTGAGGAAGAAGGTATACCGTACTTGGGAGCTGTGCCGCTGGACCCGCTGATCAGGCTGGCCTGCGACTTAGGCGAGAGCTTTCTGGATGCGTATCCGGACAGTCCGGCGTCCAAGGCTATAAGAAAGGTTGTGGAAGAGGTAGTTAAGACAGTGGGCGGGTCATGATGTAAGCTGAGGGATCCCGATGGTACGAATGATGTATTCGGCGTTTTATTGCATTTGAAGGCTACGTGTTAGCGAGAGCATCGGGAGGCGTTACTTGATCTTCGAGCAAAATGAGTACTCGTAACATCACGGTGGATTTTCAGAGAATTTGAAGCTACGAATTGAAACATGACACTACACTTTTACCACTATTTACGAATGAGAATCTCTGCCTTCGAGATGCCAAGGATGGTGGGCTCAAGTCATCCTCGAACATCTGATCTGGCTCAACTCACGATACGCCAAAGCCGACTCGACCATATCTTAACCATGGGAATCTTTAGTGACAATATCATGCTTCCCTCAAACAAGTTAGCAAACTACTCTCACTAATAACTCAAGATACGAAGAGGGTGCGAAAAGTCCCAACGTCAGACAACACCAGATTATTTTCAAGGGTGATCGATTCTCGAATACATTGAAATAGATAGCATCATAGAGGGTTGAAGAAGGCATGGAGGAATTGAACAAAGCATGTACCTGTTAAATGTATCCGAGATCAGGAGCCCATCCCCGGGTCTCGATGTCTCATATGAGATGTATATACTTTTTCATCGAATGGCACAGTTTCCAGGCCTGCGCGTGTATTTGGCCCACTGCTAGGCGCTCGCAGAAGTGGTCTTGTACCTCTACTAACAGTACGTTGTACGTGCACCATCCAGTATCGTTGAAATGTCGTGTGTCGAAAGTTGGGGTAGGGCATTCGTGGCCGAGGTGGAGGTATAGTACGTGTTGCGTTTCAGATATGAGAACAAGCTCACAGTTCTGGGATCGCCAACTTGATACATCCTCGTCATCTACGCCGTAGAAGACTCCGCAATGTCGAGCACGGTGGTCTCGAATTTTGTAGATTGGATGACGGTCGTCGTTCAGATCCTGTTGGGCGGTTGTCGGTCTTCCCGGGCGTTCGGGATCTGTAGTGAAAGCATCGAAGGTGAATTGGGCTACAGCTGCAACAGCTCCCCAAAGATGCAATACATTGGGTCTTGCGCTAGGATAATGACAGAGTGGAGAGCTTGATGGCGGATGAGACAGACCCCACGTAGGTCCCACCTGAAGTGCTTCTCCAATCTCAGCAGTAATCACAATGATGTGTGATCTGATTTTACCCCAGTTTTCACCAGTTGGCATGATTTCATGGTCAATGATTCCTTCCCATCCGGCCCATGACCAGCTAGGAAAATCGCTTGAGATTTTCACGGGTTTCATGGCGCTGTTTACCTCACCCCGTCGTCGCGCGTGACCACTTGGAGTCCATCGAAGTGATAGACTAAGGCAGGGTGCGGGAATGCCGCAAAGAAAATGCCACCCGGTTGATGAGCTGAGGACATCGAGAATACCGGTGATGGCATTGAGTATGTCGGAAGTATCAGAGAGAGATTTAGAGGTATACTCAGCAACTATTTCTGCGTAGACGGGAAATATCTCTCTGATACTTACTCTTTCAATAGAACTCTTCGCCAGGGGGCTCAATAGCGCAATGTCTTCATGGACAACCCCCCGGGCCACCCCGCATCCGCGCGCGCTCGCTCATTTCGGTCTTCACACCAGATGTTGGATTTGCACTGGAAATGTACTTGCTCCTTAGTAAAATAGAGGCATCTGTTGGACAAAAGTCTCTCTTGAAACGTCCATCCCCGCTTGTTATAGTGTGATCGAAAAATGACTTCAGCGAGTCTTGATGGCCTCTGAGCAAGCCGTAATCCACCAACTTCGCCACCATTCTGCGGCCTTCGAGTGAATGGTCGGACACCTGGAAGGCCTTCATTAGCGTGGAGACCAGCGACGGCACATATATTTAGGTATGCTTTGGCATATATTTGCGACATGTGTGAGATCAAGTCGTGCTTTACCGCCGCGTCGTTCTGTGTTATGCACAGGGAGTCGACCCAAAGATACCGCTCGCCCAGTTCAAAAACTACGGTCATCGCATCTTTGATAACTTGAGGTAGACGATGAGCAGAATGACTCAGTGCTTGATCCTTTAGAAGACTTGGAGTGTTGTGTGTAGTAAGCAAGAGCTGTGCTACCATTCCCCATACATAGCTCAAGGTGAAGTACCTTAAGTCGTCCAGGGTAGGATCCACTTCGGTGATGCAATTACGATGGACGTCGATAACTGTGAGCTTGAATTGTCTTGGCCACTTAAGTTCGAGGATGTTTGACAGCGTCTACCCGTGGCTTTCGCGTAGTGCAAGTTTCTCGTTCCTCGAAATTTGCCCTACTTCCACCTAACTAGTTATGGACGCGTTGGAAGTCTCCATGCCGCTCTTAGAATAGATGATAACATTGCTGATATCGGTCGTGAATGGCAGCGGGCGTTGTTTTCGATGAAGAAGTCTCGATGGCTCTGCCAACGATGGCGGAGGACACCTTGAGACTTGGTCTCGGAGATTTTTTGCGACTTTTTGGCAAAATTGGCATGTGTTCACTTCCCCGGAGAGGCCTTGTCCCACTCGAGACCATATGCTATCATACACGCCTTCCTCGGCTGCCAAGAGGCATGAGCGACATAATCCTGATTCGATTTGCCAGTTGCATTCCAAGGCTGTACCTGGCAGGGCCATCGCATAAATCGCAGTACACGTGACGAAAAGAGAATCTCTAGCGTGTAGAGCGGGTTGGGGGGATAATAGATATGAAGGAGGGTTCGGGATGTAATACTATACATGAAGAAGAATGCAGAATGGCACGAGGCTCGAGATCAAAGGCTAGTGATACGTAGCGACAAAGTTGTCTCGCGTAACGAGATGATATTCAAGCATAGCTAGTTCTAAGGTTGCTGGTAGACCACGTCGAAAGCTGCTGAGGGTGGCTGGGGGTGGATGAGGTTGACGATGGAGGAAGTAAGGATGGGAAGATGGCACTCGAGGCAGAGCGAAGGCCAAGAATTCGGCCCAACCTGATCCCGCGGCATCAAAAAACGGACCTCGAGCTTCCTCGGCCCAAAACAATGACCACATCGCAAATCGCACAGCATGGCATCTTCCACGGCCGTGTTGATGCCCAGAAGCTGGGAATCACTCCAAAGCAAGGTCGCTTGGTCGCCTTGAGGACCCGTGATGAGCTGCGAGCTGCCACAGAGCTTCGTGAGTACTTCTCCATACGCCTTTGACTAGCTTGGACACAGTCCTAACTAATTGCCAGTTGACGCATACGTCGTTGCAGTACCCGCTGTCTTCGCGAGTGCAGTTCTGGAGTATGTCCACTTGACATGGGCTTGATGTCAATCGCTGATCTTTGAAGCGTCATCCGGATCGCAATACCCAACATTCGCGATGTGAACATCCAGCACCTACGCCGAGTCGTAAATTTTCCATTCCTTCCAGACCACATCCAGCAGACCTTCGCTGCGTCGGCGCAAACATGGCCTTTTCCTAACGATCTCGACGGTGCACCTCAAGCAGGCAACTCGAATCCTATCGAGACCCGCTACCTCCTCGTCTCCCCAGCATCCCTTATAGCCCTCCCCGATCTCGTAGCTTCGCTTGTTCGAGAACCACCCTTTTCGATCGCAAATATCGTGCCCCACGTCTTCACCATACCCGTCCCAGCCCTCGCGCCCACATCAGCTGAAGAAGCTCAGGAATGGAGCGAGAAATACTGGTCGATATCGTACAAGAACACGAATCCGTATGGGCCACATCCAAGCCTGCTTGAGAGAAATCAAGCCGGAATCGAGCCATACGCTGGTACATGGCTTGCACTAGCTGAGGTGGCAGGCGGACAAACGAGTTCCCGGGGCATTGGGGAGAACGTTGGTTGTGTCATCGTGCAAAAGGAGCGCAAAGAGCACAGAGTCATCGCAGTGGCTGGAGATGCGCGGTGGCGAGGTACTGGTGATTCAAAGCCCTGCACAGAAGAGCCGGGAAACGTCATGGCACATGCTGTGATGAGAGCCATTGGCATGGTCGCCAGGAAACGTGTACGGCTCGAACACTCACCTGATGAACTAACACCAGATGCAGCGGGATATATTGCTTGTGATGTACCACTGTCACCAGTGGAGCATTCGTTCTTCTCCGTTGACAATTTACCATCCACTGGCTACCTGTGCGTGGATCTTGACATCTACTTGACACATGAGCCTTGCGTCATGTGCTCGATGGCGATTCTGCATTCTCGGTTTCGACGCTGCGTTTTCGAGCATGCAGTAAAGGCTACCGGAGGCCTCACGACCTCGAGAGAGAGTCCGTCTGTCGAGAACGGACTTGGGTATGGCATTTCCTGGAGACCAGCAGAGCTAAATTGGAAGTTTCTAGCTTGGCAATGGGAAAATGAATAATTACATACTCCACATATTGAGCGCCGACTTTTGAGTTCTTCGATGCGTTTCAAGGACATTGGCTGACTTAGGGCGTTATGTTCTTCACAATCGGAAGTTCTAACACCGCGCTGCGTTCTGCCATGTGCCATTTTGATATCCGCTCTTAGTATTCTTTGAATGAAAATAGTTCCCACTACCCCATCCTCACCTTCTCAAACCCATCTTTGTCAGAAGACCTGGTTAGATGAGGAGCGACAACGACCGAGCCACACAAAGCAAGAGGCAAAAGATATGCAGTTCCAGCGCCGCGAATCAGATGCAGGTTTCACCCATTCCACGTCTGGGTATGCTTAGGTTCACCCCAAAAGTCCATCGATAGAGACGTAGACAGATCAAGGAACAGCCTTAAGAGCTCCCTACATTACCGCCGGTCCAAGATTTAGTAAAAGCCAAAGCTCAAAAGGGGGGTTCTTACCACTGAACTACGTTGGATTTTATTCCAGAGCGGCGGCGAATTGAGCCACTGACAATAAGCAATTATGAGTTCGACTCAGGAAAAGGGAAAGAAACGCCGCCATTGACGCCTCAAAAACAAATATTTCCAACACCGTGAATCGAACGCGGGTTTCACCCAACCCAACCCGATGAAAACACCAGGCAAATAAATCTCTGGTCAAACACCAAAGCCAGCCATGCACCATGAAAACCTCCGATGAAACCACCGAAGAATAGGGGGGGTGCGCTGTAACCACTGAACTACGTTGAATTGGGTTGAGAGGGGTCCAAAGAAAATAGGCTTTGAGCGTCAGGTGATACTGAGAGGAGAGCAAACAGTTTCAGGAAAGTTGCTCAATTTGCTGGGGATGTTTCAATTTTGCTACCGCTAATTACTCCGTCGGTGAAAGTGACAGCTCCGTGTCAGAAGCCACGTTCCAATCCCGCATACCAAAACATCACGACTAGAAAGCCCGACCTCCCACGCCTAGGTGATCATCCATTTTAGTCTTCCAAGACAAGTTCGATAGAACAAGATGTTGACCCTCTCCCTCTCATCATTCAACTCTTCCTTGAGATACTCCCCGAGCGGCACCTCATTCCCGTGCAATCTCCTCGCTACATCATCCGCCAAACACGCCTCCACATTCGGCGCCAAAATTGAAATGATGCCTAAAGGCGGCGTCGCTAGAAACACTGCAAAGGAACTCTTCGAATACGCTTGTTGCGTGGACCCTGGCACTGCCGGGAAGTTCCCACCCGTGATACATGCGAATATGTCTACTAGTGACATTGCAGGCAATTCAGCTGTGGTCTTCGAGCGTTACGTAGTGTTTATACGTTTCGAAATGTAACCGCTGGGCGACGGGTACTGCTGCTCAAGTACTTCGCACATCACGAAACGGTTCTCCAACTGAACAGATTGAGACGACGGCGGCTAGGCCCGAGAGAATCTGGCCGCACTAAAGGGTATCTTTGACAAGATAAAGCACGGTAGGTAGAGCTTATATGATACAGCGCAATCGAAGTCTCTTGGTCTGTCACGAGCGAGACTTGATGGCAGGTTGACCAGACTATAAGCTATATAAATACTAATCTCTAGCGTGATTAAGTTATTGCTACTCCCTCTATTAGAGGCTTTCCACGAAAGCGGTAACAGCAGCCGCCATGCTCTCCGGTGCCTCTAACGGGATCAGATGCCCTACCCCAGCTATCTGCTCAATCTTCACATCCGCGCCCGAATTCCTCAACACCACTGCAACCCTACTCTCCACATTCCCAGGCTCCTCGACGCGATCCAGTTCACCAGCAATAATCAAAACCTTCAGCACACCTTGCTCGCGTTGATACCGCTCCACGCTTCCAACCACAGCTCGTTCATAGTCCTCCGCCATCCCGTACTCCGGCCACGCCGCTCGCGCTCCTGGACTCCCGGCCACCATCCCCTTAGCCAAATCTACCCTCGTCGCTTCAGTCACATTCTCCGCCTCCCCAAGCAGGACATTCTCCACCACGAACGAGGCCGACTCAACGCTATCGTAAGCGTGGATCTGCTGCGCGCGCATGTTCTCCGAGAGCGCAAAACTGCCAGCCGGTGCGGGCGCGATGAGAATCAATCCCCTTACAAGCGACGCCACTTCCACGTTGTTCAGAAGAACTTGCGCGAGTTTGCCGCCCATGGAGTGCCCGACTACGATGACTCCGTTCGCTGAGAGTGCGAGTTGTTGCGTATTTAGGTGCAGGAGGAGGGCGACGATGTCGGCTACGTAGTCGACGATGCGGTAGGCGGTTACGTCGACGGGCGCACTGGACATGCCCCAGCCGCGGAGGGAGGGGGCTATTATCTGGTAGTGGTCTTGTAGGAGGGAGATGGAGGGGTGGTAGGTGTGGTGAGAGCCGCCCCAGAAATGAAGGAGGAGGAGAGAGGGGCGGGAAGAGGGTTGAGCCGGGGTGGAGACAAGGGTATGGAGGGTTATGGAGGGAGAAATGGGGATGGACAATTCTTGGGATGACATTTTGAGTAGAGATTATATAGGGAAAATTGGATAAGAGTTAGACGATGGCGGATGAGGCTTCTTTACTATATTACGTGATTCTGTGAAGATAGGATAGAGAACGGGAGGTGAGAGAAGCTGAGTGCGAGCGGCCTATTTATACCTAGTCTCGCTGTAATGATTTGACTTCTTCCTAATGATTTGAGTTCTTTCTGCACGCTGACCTCACCTTAGCTAAGTAACCTCTTGCCTCGGGGAACGAAACCCTGTCGCGCCGGAGATACTTATACCGATCAACGTTTAAACTGCTGCCGCTGTGGTCTACAACATATCGCCAATGCTCAGGAATTGGGCTATTGGTTGGAGGTTTTTGGCGTGCTGCATATTTCGGGTACTTCGTATTCTACTCTTGCTCATGTTCGGGAATCAAAGGTTTCCAAAACATGCGCCTGATAGAGTCCAACTCCTGTTGGTGGCTCGCAGTCTCGTGAAATGGCACAAGCGAGAGGTGATGGCAGAGTGAGGACTTGAGAGACAAGCATATCAGAGGGAGTCGGGAGTCTTCTCCTGCCCGGGGGATTTTTCTAGTTGAAGACTCGATTCTGAAATATACGCCGACCGTTCTTCAATCTACAATTCCGACCTCCGTCTTTTCTACAATCGCATCAAACAATTGGACGTTGGGTCGTGACTCAATTGTGTCCCCGTGTGTTTGTCGCGGCTCTCTTCTGCCGATGACCTCTAACCGCTACTTCTATGTGAGCTTTTTGTGGAGCCATACAGCCTCGTCTTACGAAGGAAGGATGACGAAAAGTTGGGCTGACTCACACCAATGACTAGAAGTACTATGACTTCCTTGACCGCAGACAACCGACGTCGACCAGTGAAGCGCATCTACTGCTCCACGGAATTGCGCTCTCTTGAGTGTCGAAAATGCCTTCCACGCAAGATGGCGGCGACAGCTACAACTTCTGCTTCCCAATTGACGCCTCTAAACTCTCCAACGACAGATTGAGCCTCGTGCCTTTTGACGTACGTGTCGTTTCCTAGCATATCCCCGACCAATTACTCTGAATCCGAAATGATGGAGTTTTTGAAGACCTCCCGGAATAACGTATGTACTAGTCAGACTACGCTCGTTTCTCGACTGTCTATGTCTCGGAGACCTGCAAGGCGGCGTCTCGGAACTTCGACTACCTGGCATATGGTCCTTTCGAGAACGTAGATGCTTTTGGAGAATGGTACGAGCCGAAAGTCCGCTCCGTTAAAAGCCAGATCTGGTTCGCCATCATTCTCAAGAAATGCGTTATTCGAGACAGGCAGATTGAGGATGGCACATTCGCCGGCACGGTCGCTTTGATGGATTGTAATCGAGACAGCGCTATAGCTGAGATCGCTCATGTGAGTGTGGCGTGTATCTTGATTCTTTTCCTCTACTTGACTGCGTCTCATTCATTTCACGTCATGGCCGTCCGAGGGACCGTCTGAGAACGCTATTGATTGCGCCAAATTCTCTCTTCTGGATCATTTCGTTTACTGCAGCCTCTCATGTTAATCCTCCTATGGCTGTTATTCTTTCATGCTTTCAACTGAGCCTAAGCATCCTCTCCGACTTCTGACGGTAACATATTTAAGAATGCTGACGCCTCCTCCACCAGGTGAACTATCTTCCCAAGTTCCAACGCACCTTTGTAGGCTCTAACGTCAACGGCTTGCTACTACACTACGCTCTCGACGCTCCACCGAACGGTCTCGGTCTCCGCAGAGTGCAGTGGCACGCCAACGGAAACAACAAGGCCTCCATCGTAGCTGCGCAGCGTATGGGTTTCCGTTTTGAAGGTATCATCCGCTGGCATCGCGTTCTACCAGCTGGAAAAGAAGGCAACGGGGCGGGCGAGGAAGATTTGCCGCCTGTCGTGGGAAAGAAGTTGGGTCCAGGCAGACATACCGCGTCACTAAGCATATGCTGGGATGATTGGAAGGATGGCGCTCGCGATAAGGTAGACGCGTTGATGAACCGGTAGATTGGGCGATAGGGCCCAGAAACCGCCCCAGACGCGCACCTATCGACATTCTTGGAAGCCCAATACTCGAACTCAACAGAACCAATTTTGATAGATCTGCTGAATGAAATCCCGCAAGCTGATAAAGTTTAGCCAATTAGCTTTGAACTAGGAATGAGGCGAGCAAAGAAGGCAACGAGGCATAGTAACCAACACAGGGCTGAACTCTAGCCTGACAGCCGGCCCAACGCGTCTATATCCCGTTCGTACTTCACAATCATCAAGCCCCACATTTTTCGAGTTGCCTCTACGCTTGAAATCCTTCTTATTAATAACCATCTCTTGCTCCTTTAAGCATGGCCGATCCTTTGTCCGCTGTAGCTGGTGTCGTCGGACTCGCAGACGTTGTTGCGAGGACTTATAGCCTGGTGTAGAGGTTTATCGGTTAGCAGCGTGGTTAGTAAACCGGCTAATTCTTAATTAGATTAACGGCCGGTTTATTAGTAGGGGGTTAGTAAACACACCCCCTTTTTGGTAAACCCACACCCCCCCTCCCCTGTTCTTTCACCGCCTTTTAATTGGCTTGGAGGGCTACTCCGTAGCTTCCGATTGGCTCGCTTAACTCGCTCACTAATTCCGAATGCTCTCTCCAAATGCGGCCATGTACAACACAAGCAATTACATTAGGAGGACCTTAAGTATCACCCCCCCTTTCTTTACGTATCACCCCCCTTTTCTCTAGGGCGAGCCTACTCGTAGCCCCCCTTTTCACTCGTCGCAGCCCCCTTTTTCACTCCGTGTAGCCCCCCCCAAATTAGGTCTAGCGCCGGCCCGTATGAATATTGTTCCGCGGTTGTATCCCGCTCTCCCCTCCCCTCTGGAAGATCGGCCTCTTTCCTATCTTTGCCTATTTCGCATCATGGACGACGACGACTTTATAGCAGATCTCGCTGGGCAGCTTCAGAAGCCATCTTCCTCTCTCGATCAACCCAGCAAATTCGGCGTGATTGGCAAGCCCGTGTCGAAAAACCACACGTTGGGCATAAAAAGGCTCTGTCGGTAATAGGACGAGTAAGTATATTCTTAGCTAGCAAAGTGAGTTTTCTATCACTAATAGGAGGTACTGCCTTTAGATTTGCGACTAAACTCGGGCTACCAAATGAACTTAGGGTTTTCCGGACACGACTAAGCCAAGAACACGTAATTGTCTTCCTACAGTGGCTTTCAAAGGCCTCTAGCGGCCACCTCAATAGCATTCCTACTACAATATACATCGAGAAATGTTGGATTCATATCAGAACCTTAGTAAAGAGGTTGGCCGGAGGAAGCTACACAGAGCAAGATTTGCGGTTCGTCCGCTAGGTAAGCACGACGTCCCCAGACCACGCTCTTCTTATAGTGACAAGGTATTAGGGTATGAAGGCTTTGAAATCTCGCGGACTCACAACCACCAAACGAAGAGCTGAGGGAGAGAACCACATGAAAATCGGATTCTATGTATATGACGCAGAATGATACCCTAATAAAGGAAAAGGTAGTTGTTTACAATACATGGTGCTCTTCGTGAAGGAAGAGAAGCCTTAAACTGTCCCATTATTCCGCCGCTTGGCGTCAGCTAGAACATTGGTGGGGGTGGTGGTGGAGGTATACCTCCCCCAGCGCCTGAGCTTGTACCTGCACTTTCTACGTCCTTTAATGCAGATTTCGCAGTAATGTCTGCTGTCCCAAGAATTGCCGAAACCCCAAAGGCGAAGGTCGTGGAAAAGCTAAAGACGAACCATTGCAACACTTGGATTGTGGTTCCAGATAATATCTTAATAGACTAAGTTTCCACGGAGGTGGTGAAGTACTGCAATGCTCCTGAGGTCTGTAATACTGCGCTGTTTCCTGCTAGAGCTAGTGCAGCAGAGAACCATATAGCAGCAACCGTTGCTTGTTTGTAGAAGCGGCGAAGAGACAAGAAGGGGTTCTTTCGATCTTTCAGATTGTGTTTCAGTAACACCAGGAATATTAGACCGACGAAAAACGAAACGCCAGCAGCTGCGAAAAGGCAGACGAAGATTTTCGATTGAAGAACCCCAGCGATGGAGACCATACGCTTAGACGAAGAATTATCCGTGGCACTTCCGTTGACATGGGACTGGAAGAATTGGTCGATTTCGCTCGATCCGGGAAAGCACGTCAGATTTTGGGATTCTCCAAGGCACATCCCTTAAAAGCACATTAGGTATGATCCAGAAGAATATCAGCCGTCAGGACCAAGCCTTACCGAAATAGCCAATCCGAACTTGGAGTGTTTCCGTGACTGCTGAATCCTTATTCGTAGGTTGTAACTTTAGAAGAAAGATGTTTGGAATGCCAGGAGAATTGGATACACAACCGGTAAGAGCGAGAACTGTAGAGTAGTCAGCATTTAAATAAGATAAACGGGCGTGATGCGTTGGAGGTACCATAGAACAGAAAGATTGGGCATGGCAACACGTAAATAAGAAGGCGTAGAGTAATATTTTCTAGAGAATATGAGCTCGGCTTCTCTTTAAAGCTCTATTGAAAGATCGCACCCAGCTTTTGAGAAAGACCCATCGTGGAATGATAGTTGATATTTTCGGAATCAATGAAACAGTGGGTATATTTCGAAGGACTGAACCAGTAATGGAAAACTCGTGGAAATGACCGGGATATGTTCAATTGAATCAGTATGGCAGTCGAAAAAGCTGATTCGAAGATAGAGCCAGTGGAGGAAGTTAAGAGCGTCGTCAGCGGAAAGAACGTAACACGTTTAATCGAGAACATTCTCATTGCCCCTGTTTCGACTTACGCCAAGGGTGGCTAGTTCCATTTGGTACAGGTATTCAAAGAAGTCCAACCATAAACCCAGTCGCGCTCAAACTATCGCGCGGTTTCAAGACTAAGCGCCCGTAGTATCTGAGCCGCAGCATGCGTACTAAGTTTCGCAAGCCGCACGCTCCGCTCGTCGAAAATTAAGTCACAGTTTTCCGGCGCTTGGAGTGGACGGTAGCATGGCAGACGCACTTGAGACTTGTTGGAGGGGATGGGGGGTGGAGAAATTACATGAATGCGACTGACAGGTTACAGTAATTAAATATGGCACTCTAGAATGTAGGCCTTTGGCGTTGACTCTTCTTAGATGATGTTTTGGTTTTGCTAAAGTATGACGCCATGGTTGTAATTCTCGCGTTGGTGACCTCGACCCTCGAGAAGAGAAAGCACGGCAGAGAGCTTTGCCAATTTCATTATCTATATATTAGGGCCATTTCGACTCGAAAAAGATGATCGCTTTAAAACCCGAATCAAGCGGTTGTTATAGACCCGTGAGCGGGGAAAAAACTGGCTTACGGACGACAGAAGACTTGAAATATCTTTGATACCTTTCAAGGTCAAAGGCGCCCTCTTCCAGTTCCTTGCTGCCGGGATCTCCAGCCCAACAGAACGTACGACAGCTATTAATGGTCGTTCCATCGACTAATTTAATGTCGCACGCAGACCAAGAATAAGCAGAGGTTTTATAGTCTTAAAGTCGTGAGAATTATAAGAGCTTATTAACCTTCTATACTTTCCCTAAAACCTTTCCTTTTTTATAAGGGATTAGTGTAGGATATATACCCTATATCTTTACTAAAAACCCTGTAATCGACCCCTTAAAAACCGTAGGAGTTTCTAGAAAACTAATAACAGTCTAGAGAATATCGGGGTCTATTAGAAAACTATAAAAGAAAAGGAAATAGGGTTGAAAATAAGGTTTAAGGGTTCCGTTTATATAGTATTCTATCGAAGGTTCTAAAGTACTTTTAGTTAATCCTACTAAATTTTGTTTATTTAATTCTACTATATAAAGTTTTTCCTTTTTAGTTATAGGCTGGAAAACTCTAGAAGATTTCGGTAGTAGTAAAAAAGGCGGCAGTATTATATAACTAGATGCAGGTTTTAGAGGCAGTATAGGCAGGAAAGGCGGTAGAAGCGGTAGATTATAAAGAAAACCAGATCCGGAAGCTATTATTATTAGTAGAGATACCGCAGTTATAAGTATATTAAGAATTTACTTATTATAGAAGTAGTTAACCGGGTTATTATTTATAGTACTTAACTAGGTTATACTAATTAGGTATAAAAAAGTAGTTAGTAAGAAGATATTATTATAATAGAGGGTAGTTATAGATAAACTAAAGTATAGAAGTTCCCTTTAAAAGTTTCTGCCGCGCTAAAAACGCTATAGCATACGCTAGATATTAGCCTATACTATAAACCGTTTAGCCCCTTTCTATACAGGCCTAGCGCTAACGAAAATCCGCTATATTAATACTAAAAAACCCTTTTATTACCTTTATACTCTACTTAATTTTTATTTACTACTATACTATATATAATAATACTATAAAGGCGTAAGCTCTTATACTTAAAGCTATAAATATTTTTTTTAACTAAATTACTACTATTACTAGTATATTAAAGCGCATAATTTAGGACGTTTAGAAAAGGGCTATAAATCGCGGCTAAAACCCCTAATAATCGCTTAAAGTTCTTAATATATATATATAAAATATACCTTACTCTAGCCGGCTAACTATATAAACTATAAAAAAGATTATAAAAATAGAAAAGTTAGTTACTAAAAGTAGAGCTAGAAGGGAATTAAATACTTACTAGCTTATAAAAAAGGTAGAAATCTTAGCTATAACTATATAGCGTATTCTTCGCCGCTATTTTAATATATAGAAAATAAAACCTATATAAAAACCTAGGCTATAAAAGTAGATAAAGTAGGAATAATTATAGTAGTATCTTAACTATTAATACTAGACTTTTAAAAACTAGAAAAAATTATTTAAAGCAATAAAACGGCTTTTATAGTTAGCTAGCACTATAAAAAATATTATATCTAGCGTTAGTTAAATAAACAGTTTTTATATATAATAATATAAAAATACTAGAAAAAATACTTAAAGTTTATATTCTAGAGCTGCTTTTTTTATAATTATAAGGGCCCTTACTATATTTAGTACCTAGAAATAAAGGCTAAACGCGCTATAGTAGATAAATATTTTACTAAGCTTAATAAAACTATTAAGCCTATTATATAGGTAGAATAAAAGCTAGAAAATTCTCTATTACGCTTTAAAGTAATATATAACTGCCTAGGTAGAAAGCTAAAGTAGTAGTTTATATAAAATACTAGAAAGCTTATAAAAGGCAGTAGAATAGGCGTTAATTAGTATTACTATAAAAAGAAAATTTTAGAAAAAAAGCTTATTCTATTTACCTAGCGCTGCGCGCACAATTAATAGGGTATAATTATATAGGAAGATTATACTCCTATATATATATATTATTATTAAGTAACTATTTATACTACTACTAAGGTTTAATAACTTTTCTAGGTTATAAATTCCCTAGATCTTAATATAATAGAGCCTGCCTAGCTTTACCTTAAGTATATAACTATAAAAAAGGGCGCGCTAAAGTTTAAAATATAAGAAAATAAGTAGTAGTAGCAGAGCTAGAAAAATATAGAGTAATAGCGCTACTAGGCCTAGATTTAACGGATTCTATAATATATCTAAGAAATAATTAGGCTTAAGGGCCGTAATAAGTATAGAAAGGGCGCTATTAACTTATAGATAAAATATATTATAAAATATTTTATATTATAATTTAAAAGTAAACTATACAGTTTAATAATATAATTTAGAAACGAAAATTAAACTATACTATAGAAAACCCTAATAGATTTTACTAGAAGCACTATTATAGGCAGGTTATTAACTATTATATATTTAATATATTATTTAGACTTAGTATATAACCGCGGCGTAGTATTATTATTATTAGAGGTTAGGGTTATATTAGCAATATTAGTATTCGTGGCCGTATATAGCAGCTAAAACGCCTGCTATACTATATTTCTATAGCCTATATTATTAAGGTATAGTAGTAGATTATATATATAAAATACTATAGGTATATAGGTGTAATATCCGATAATTAGGAGATAATAAAATATAGTATAATTTAATAGGATATAAATAAAAAGGCGAGTTGCTATATAAAAGTATTTATTTAATTTATTAACTATTATTATAGTAATCGTGTAGTAAGGTATAAAATAATTTACCTAAGTTTTTAAGTATATTCTATAGTATTATATTATAGTTTATAGAGATTATAGGTATAGTATTACTAAAGGGCAGTTATAAAAGTATTTAGCTATATACTACTAGAAGTTTATAGTTATAATATAAAAGGCTATAGCAGAGGCCGCAGTAGGTTTAGAAAATTAGGCGTAAAATAATAGGTAGGTAATTTTCCTGCTAGTAGTAGCATAGCCTATACTATATTTACCTATTTAGTATAATAGATTAAAGTATTTAGGAGCCCGTAAAAACAGCGCGCTATATTATTTTATTATATATAGTTTACAGAATATATAAACCTATTATAAAAAGGAATATAGGTAGAAAAATTTATAAAAGTAAGGATATTACTACTAAAGGTAATAGAGTATTATATAGCGGGTAAAAATATAGAAAAAGGGCGTGCAGTGCTAGAAATTTAGTAGTAAAGCGTTATTAGCCCGATTATTCCAGGTAAACGCGTATAACCCAGCCGCTAAGAAAAAAGAATAGAAAAATCCTATTTAGAAGGTATTAGAGGCCGTATTTATATAGGCAATAATTAATATTAAAAAAGCTAATAAGAAAGTAAGCAGTTAGATTTAGGCTAATAACAACCGATTTAAAGTTAACGTATAGTTAAACTACGCCGGATAGGCAAAGTATTTAAAGAAATTAAATAGTAAGTAGTTAGAGTTATTAATATATAAGCCTAAAAAGAAAAAAAAAGTATTAGCTAATTTATATTTTATAGTTAAGATAGTAATTTAAAAGGCGTAGTAAGTATCTAAAGCTAGTATAGTTAGATTAGCAGCTATAAATTATATTAATTAACGTAAAACTAGTAATAAAATAAATAAGAAGCTATTTAGTATATATTAGTTAGCTATTATTTATTATATTTAGAAAACCTATAGAATAAAGCTAATTTATAGTAAAAAAATAGAAAAGTTAAAAAATAAGGGTAATATTTAGAACTAGAGGCTAGTATTTAGGTTAATAGGTAAATAGGGGTTAGTATTAGCAAAGATTAAAATAATAGTAGAGCAGGATAAAAAGAAGAATAGTAATAATAGTAATATTAGTAATAATAGTAGTAATAGCAATAATAGTTATATAATTAATAAAAAGAAGTAAAAAAAGTTAAAGAAAGCCGTTTTAGTATTTATATTAGCGTTATTAGACCACTTATTTATAGATAACAAGTATACTAGCGTATTAATTAGCGGTATAGCCGTTTTAGGTATTAGCTAGTAATATAGTTAGGAAAGCGCGTTAATATATATACCTAAGATTATAGCTATTATTAATATATTCTATATATTAGTTTTATATTAGGCTATAAAAATGCGTAAAAAGCGCGCGGCGGATATATAATAGAAGGAGCATTTTAGCTAGAAAAACGCTAAGGAAATAGCGCCGGCGCATTTTAAATTTATATAAAAGATAGTAGACCAGTTTATAATATTAGTTTAATATAGCGGAATACTATATTCTATAGATTAGTTGCAGCGGTTAAAGGCGTATAGAATAAAGATCTAATATACTACTAATACTAAGGGCGTAATTAAGTAGATAGATAATATATTATTATATAGTAATATTTAATTTAGTATACCCTAGTTGCGTTTAATAGTCTATAGGTTAGTAGAAATAGCTATTACAGTATCGACCGCAACACCCTACCTACTAAAATTCTGCCGCAGATTGCTACAACTCCAGCAATCTGCACCGGCCTACTACTGTTGGCCGGCCTCCTGCCCTGCCTACTTTACTCCGCTCCCGTTTTACTTCCGCTTCCTATCCTGTCCCGCTCCAGCCACCTACCGGCTACCCCTTTTTCCTATTACCTAATCTAGTAAGAACCTCGCGTATACGTATACCACGCGCCGAAACGGTATAGAGGCCGTATACTACGCGCTTAGCCACGCCCTTATATCCGGTGGCCTGTCTCCCGTTTTCCTATTCCTTATACAACGTCTTAATTCTCTATATAGCATTATATATAGCACCTAATTAACGCTCCTCTTTAAGCCCTTAACCTCTTGCGTGTAGCGCTATTATAATATTATATTATATCTACTCTTACTACTATAAATACCCCTGCTAACCTAACTATAATACTTTTAGAGCTTGTTAGCTCTATAAAGGAACAGCAGGCTGCTATAATAGAAGTCCTGTCCGCCTAGAAATAGGAAATTGCTGCTCTGCAGGAGGAAGTAGCCGCAATTTAGTCTAAATCTACCCCTACTCTACTACTAGCGCCCGACTAACAATTTACAGGGCCTTCTATTTATAAATTAAATAATAGCTTAATACCTGCCAATAATATAAACTATATATAGACCCTAACTATTAAAGTTACTCCGCTAACTTTAACAGACTTCTTCCTAATAGCCGC